ACCAGACAAGCGCAAGCACTTCACAGAGATAGAAGAACAAACAGCTGCATAGACGTAATGTTTAAGAGGTCCGCACGGGTTTCTTGGATCGGCGCTGGCGGCGGCGCTGGTGGCGCCGCCAGAGAGGCCCCACACCGATCCAACAAATCCGCGCCGACCTCCAAACAACTATGTTGATGCCGTCCACTGCTCTTCGACAAGACTGGCCCAGACTTGCTGCGTGCCGTCCCGCTGCACCGAGGCACCCCCACTGCACCTCCCGGCACTGCATGGCCACTGCACCACGCACGCGAAAATATTGCCTCCCAAAACAGACGGCCGTTCCAAGAGAGGCAGAAGAGGGCGAGGAGGAGAGGACGCGAGGAGGCCGAGGAGGACGGGCGCGGGAGGCGCGCCAGAGCGCCCGAGGAGGCGGAGGAGGCTGCGGCGCGAGGACGAGGACGAGGGGGCCGAGGAGGGTCAAGGAGAGGAGGCGCAAGAGGCGGCCGAGGACGGCAGCCAAAATGCGGCAGGGGCAGGCACGCCTCGGCGAGCAGCAGGCGATCGCCCGCCGCCGCGGGGCCCAGGGCCGCCCCACGGGCCTCTGGACGCGCGCGCAGCGCAGGCCTCGGAGGAGAGCTCGCAGGGGCCAGGAGGAGCGGCGCTGGCAGCAGCTGCAGCGGATGCCTTCGGCGGCAAGCGGCGCAGAGACCGTCGACAGCCAGGGGGCCGAGGAGCCCGAGGGGGCCCAGGGAAGCGGAGGGCGAGGAGGAGAGGCACGGGGAAGAGGAGACAGCAGCGACGCCGCCACGACAGCAGGAGACGCAACCCTGCCTCCCTCCACTTTCCCTCCATGCCTCTCCCTCCCTCGCTCCCTCCCTCCCTCCCCTCCCTCCTTCCCCTCCCTCCCCCGACTTCGAAATTTTCCCGACACGCTACAGGGGAACATGAGCCCAGAACTTCGCCGCCGTGATTTGTTCAATCCACGAGGCTCAGAACTCACGACCTCTTCACTGGGGCCCGTTTTCCATCGCGAATTTCAGGGTCCCGGAACCCCAAAACAGCACCCCGAAGGTGAACATCGTCATCAAAATCCTGCCGCACTTGTTTCGCGACGCCTGGAGGTCCCGGTTCGGAGTGCCACAGCTCAGCCTCCCGACCGACCTCTCCCGGGGCGCGCCCGTGCCAATCTTGAATGGAATCCGGCCGTGACGAGAACGGGGACAGGCCGGCCCGAGTCCGCGCCCACCCGGTCGGCCACGGCCACGTCGGGCACCCTGGCCGTTCGCTTTTGGTAGCTCCCAAACTCCGCACGGCTCCGAGTCCCGGCTCGGTCGGAGGGGATCGGAGGGCATCGACTGACCCTCACTGGCGCTGGGCCACGTTCCCTGCGCCCCGTTCGAGACCAAAGAGGCCGAGGGTCGAACAAAAGCAGACGGCGTCGGAGGTCTGGGAAGTTGCGCTGGCCTCCCCGCGGGCTCAGGGCCTAAGACTAAGAGAGACGCTAGCTGGCACGCCCGAGCTGGGTCCAGAGGAATGGGTACGATGTCCAACAGCAGATGTCGTCCATAACTACCGCGGCCGCTGCTGGAGAGGCAACTTGTGGTCTCAAATGGACCACGCCCGCGGCGGCACCGATAGCGAGTTCTGTTCAGAATGGGCAGGAACTACGGTTGATCTTCGTACCCGTCCCTTCCGCCCCCATATCGGACGTGGCGAGCTGGGGGGGGCACGGGCCACGTTGGCGCGGCGCCCAATTCTGACTGCCACGGGACACCCGCGTCTGCGGAGCCACACGAAGTCAAAAGCGAATTCGGCCCACTTCGTCGTCGTCGTCGTCTCTCCCTCTCCTTTTTTCTCTCTCGTTTTCTCTCTCTCTCTCTCTCTCTTTCTCTCTCTCTCTCGTTCCGAGCCCCCCTCCTGCACCTCCTCCTCCTCCCCTTCCTCCTCCTCCTCCTCCTGCTCCTCCTGCTCCTCCTCCTCCTCCTCTTCCTCCTCCTCCTCCTCTTCTTCATCCTCTTCCTCCTCCCCCTCCTCGTTTTCCTCCTTTTCGTCCTCGTCCGCCTCTCCCTCCCCCTATCCTCCTCGTGTCCCGCTCGTCCTCCTCTTCCCCCTCCTGGGCGTCCTTTTCATCATCTGATCCTCCTCCTCCTCCTCCTCCTCCTCCTCCTCCTCCTCCTCCTCCTCCTCCTCCTCCTCCTCCTCCTACTCGTCTTCCTTGTTTTTTTCTCTTCCTCGCCAGCCACAGTGCGGCGAGGGTGATGAACGAATGCCATAATCCCACCTGCCCTTTGAGACGTGAGCGGTTTAGCGGGTGTCCTCTTCCAACCACGTTTGTCCCGTCCGGGGAGGGACCCATCATTGCTCCTTACTCCCGAACCTCTTGCGTTGGGCACTCGTTTTAAATAGCGCACAAATCGCGCGTTTCCTTCCCGCCTCCTCTCATCCTCTCCTCTTTCCTGTCTGCCTCTAACCTCGCTCCTTTTTGCGTGCCAGCGTGCGCCAGTTTGCCGCCTACCTGGTCACCCCTGGCATCCTCAGCGGAATGACGTCTTACGCGGATCACCAGGAGACCTCGCCATCCCTGCGGGGCTGCGACCTGCAAGACTGTCGGCACTTTTGAGGGTTGCTGGGGGGTCCAGCGGAGTGACGCCCTGCACAGACTCAGCTGCGCCCTGCCAGTCCTGTGGGGCTGCGATCGGCGACATCGCCGCCAGTTTTGAAGGTTACTGGGGGGTCCAGAGAAGTGACGCCCCACGCAAACTCCGATTAGACCTCGCCATCCTTATGGGGCTGCGATCGGCGAAACCGCCGCCACTTTCGAGGGATGCTGGGTGGTCCACCAGATCGACGTGCTACGCAGATTCAGACTAGTCCTCTCCAGCCCTGCGGGGCTGCGATCTGCGAGACGGTCGCCACTTTCGAAGGCTTCCGGGGGATCCAGCGGACTGACGTGCTACGCAGATCCAGACTAGACCTCGCCAGCCCTGTGGGGCTGCAATCTGCGAGGTTGTCACCACTTTCGACGGCTGCTGGGGGGTCCAACGGAATGACGTCCTACGCAGGCTGAAATTCGACCTCGCCATCTCTTTGGGGCTGCGATCTGCGAAACTGTCGCCAGCTTCGAATGTTGCTGGGGGGTCCAAGTGACGTCCTACGCAGACTCAGATTCGCCCTCGCCATCCCTGTGGGGCTGAGATCTGCGAAACTGTCGCCACTTTCAAAAGCTGCTGGGGGGGGTCAGGCGGCATGACGTGCTACGCAAACTCAGACTAGACCTCGCCAGTCATGCGGGGCTGCGATCTGCGAGACTGTCGCCACTTTCGAGGGCAGCTGGGGGGTCCAGCAGAGTAACGTGCTACGCAGACTCAGACTAGACCTCGCCATCCCTGCGGGGCTGCCATCTGCGAAACTGTCGCAACGTTCGAGGGCAGCTGGGAGCACAATGGAATGACGTGCTACGCTGACTCATACTAGACCTCGCAATCCGTGAGGCTGCGATCTGCGAGACTGTCGCCACTTTCGAAGCCTGCTGGGGAGTCCAGCAGATTGACGTGATACAACGATCCAGACTAGACCTCGCCAGCCCTGCGGGGTTGCGACCTACGACTTGGAGCACAGCCTTGAGTGCAACTCGCTTCTCGACCTCACATGGACTCTTGTCGGCGCCCACGTAGATGGGCGATGTGTCATTCGAGACGCTCTCGGCCTCGAAGCGGGGATACTCTCCACTGTCCATGCGTAGGTTGCCCAAGCACTGCTGCACCTTCCTGGCTGCGTAGCTCGGTGTGCCCAGCATCTGTAGAACGAACTTCGTGCCAATGGGGTTGCCCTTGATCTGGTAGTCATTGCTGTTGACGCTACATGCTACCAGCCACTGGTCCAACGCCGCCTCCGCGCGGGCCATCGCAATCTGGAGCTTGCATCGGATGATGATGACCGACGGGTCCACAGCACGATTGAAGGACGAATCGAAGGCACGAGAGGCGGGAATGGCGGTCCTGTCTTGATCCAAGGCGGCCCGCAATGTACGAATGTCATCTTCGACTTGGTTCAGCTGAAATCCGTGTCTTCTGCGTGTACTCCAACGTGGCCATGCGCCGCTCGACGGACTTGGCAAATTTTGCCACAGGTCGCAGACAGGCTGGAGGTGAGTGTCGAGAGGGTCGAAGGCATCGAAGACTGAGCAGCTTGAACAGAAGCAGTAAGCTCATCACGAAGAGAGTCGATCGCAACCTCGAGCTGGGCGTTGGAGAGGGTCTTGTCCTCGCAGTCTTCGAAGGTCTCGCCGTCGTCTCCATCGGCGTTGAAGCGCTTCGCCGATGCGGGTGTACTGGGTGAGGTCCCGTGCTCGGCGATCCTGTCCCTTCTGAGCCAGCCGACGCCATCTTCGCCGCGGGCACTGAATCAGTGGTGCGGCACCCAAAAGATGCGTACGTAGCAAGGTCAAGAAAACTGGGGCGAGAGGGGATGGTGCCGTGAGCCCTGTGCCCCAAGCTGCTTGGAAGCCAGCTACGAACGGGTTCCGACCTAATCACTGGTTCTCGGGCGTCTATAGCCCTTCACAGCGTTTAAGTCTTGAGCCAACATGGCTACGGACCTCCTCCTCCTCCTCCTTTTCCACCCTCCTCCTCCTCCTCCACCTCCTCTTCCACCCTCCATCTCCTCCTCCTCCTCCTCCTCCTCCTCCTCCTTTTCCTCCTCCTCCTCCTCGATCCTCCTCGGTCCTCCTCGTGGGGGGGGAAGGGGAGGGGAAGCACCCCGAGGCAAGAGAAGTCCTGCCGGGCCCGCGCCTGGGATCTACTGGGCCAGGTGTCCACTCAGATCCGGGTAAGCCAAGCCTCGCAGGATCCTGAAAGATCCTGCAGGATCCTGCTCGCAAACCCGGGTCAGCGCACCCCTGGCTCTGCAGGATCCTGCAAAATCCAGCGCTCTTACTGCCCCCCGTTTGCGTCGACCCCCGTCTCTTGAGCCCCGATCGCGAGGCGAGTGGGGCGTTGGCGCAGGCGAGAGGCGCGCCCTCACATGCTGATGATGCGCCTGGGGGCGGCCCTCTCCTCCTCCTCCTGCTCCTCCTCGCCCCTCCGAACGTTAGCAGAGGTGGCCCTGGCCCAGCAGGCATTCGGATGATGATGATGATGATAATGATGATGCTGATGATGAGGATGATGGATGATGATGATGCTAATGGTAATGAGAATGCTAATGATGATGGTGCTGATGATGGTGATGATGATTGATCAAGAGGAGGAGGATACTGAATATGGTGTTGGTGTAGGTAAAGGACATGATGGTGGTGGTGATGATGATGGCGACGGTGATGATGACGATGATAATGATCATGACGATGATGATGGTGATGATAATGGTGATGACGATGATGATGATGACGACGACGATGGTGATGATGACGATGATGATGAGGATGATGATGATGACGACGCCGATGATGATGTTGTTGATGATGATGGTGGTGATGATTATGGCGATGATAATGGTAATGATGATGATAATGATGAAGATGATAATGCTAATGATGATAAGGAGAAAATTGAGGAGGAGAGGGGAGGAGGAAAAGGAGAGTGCCTGCAAATTTGTTCGCACCGTCGTGAAGCTATCCTGATCCTCTGTGCATCCTTCATCTTCCTCCTTCCGCGTCGCACTGCTGCATAGTATGGCTGGCCCAACTCGCCTTGCCATCCTCCTGTTCCCCCTCCTACCCCTTGATCATCTGTCGCATCAGCTTCCCCCCACTACCACTCTAACACCGCCACAACCACAAACCAAAGCACTCACACCATCCACCCTCCGAATCATCCTCGTCATAATCAGCATCCTCAGCACAAGCATCATCATCATCATCATCATCATCATCATCAGCAGCAGCAGCATCAGCATCAGCATCAGCATCAGCATCATCATCATCAGTATCCTCATCAGCAACACCATCACAACCATCATCAGCGTCATCACCGTCATCAGCATCATCATCATCATCACCACCACCATCATCATGAGCAGCATCCTCATCATCAGCATCAGCAGCAGCATCAACATCATTATCATCCTCATCCTCATCATCATGAGCAGCAGCATCATCACCATCATCAGGATCATCATAAACAGCACCATCAGTATCAGCATCAGCATCAGCATCGCCATTATCGTCACTACCAGAATCATGATCATCATCATCAGCAGCAGCATCACAAGCATCACCATGCCATCCTCATGATCGCCATTAACATCGTCATCCACATCACCGTTCTCATCAGCGCCATCGTCAGCATCATCATCATCATCATCATCATCATCATCATCATCATCATCATCATCAATATCATCACCATCATCGCTGTCGTCATCGTCCTCAGCGTTAGCAGCAGCAGCAGCGACATCATTGACATCCCCGATCTCGTCCTCACCCTGGCCCTCGCTCTCACCCTCATCGTCACCATCACCACCACCACCACCATCTTAATCATCATCATTATCATCATCATCATTATCATCATCATCATCATCATCATCGTCATCAGCGTCGGTCACCATCATCATCATCATCATCATCATCATCATCATCATCATCATCGGAATCGTCATCATCATCGTCATCATCATCGTCATCATCGTCATCATCGACATCATCATCATCATCATCATCATCATCATCATCATCATCATCATCATCATCATCATCATCATCATCATCATCATCATCATCATCATCATCATCATCATCATTGTCATCATCAACAACACCATCATCATCATACTGGTCGTCGTCATCCTCATCATCAGCAGCAACAACATCGTCATCATCATCATCAGCAACATCATCAAAAACGGCATCATTATTGCCACACCAATATCACCAACATCATCCGCGTGACCCTATTCCCCTACTCCCCCCTCCATCTCCCGCCTCCCTGCCTCCCGCTCACCCCTCCATTCACCTCAACACCCCTCCTGACCTTCGTCACCATCAGAGAGCAGAAAAAGCACCCTCATAAGAAGCACCCCGACAGGCGATGCCGTTTAGTGAACGCACCCGCAGAAGAGATCGAACAGGACAGGGATGTTTAGTGAGAATGCTCAGCGAACGCCCAGGACCGCTCAGTAAACGCCAAGAAGGGGGGTCAGGGTGGCTTTCCCTCCCTGAACTCCCCTCCCAGCGCGGGGGCGGCGCGAACTCCTGGGGACCACCGAGGCGGTCGTGGTTCCGTCCGCGAGCGTGGTCGTGGTGGTGGTGCGGGAACCCGCGTCGGGGCTGCCCGCAGGGGTCGCCATAGGAGCCTCCTGCCGGGCGCGCGGAGCGCAGCAAGGGCGGCGCCGGAGGCGCCACCGAGGAGGTCCAGCGCTGATCCGAGAGAAAGCCGCGCGGCCTTCGGAGCATGAATCATGTGTATGGCGTTCTGTCTTCTACGATGTTGGGCGGAAGGCCCAACAGAGTACCCAGCACGCTCGCAGCATCACAGTGCTCCATCAACAGACAAGAAGCCCAAGAGACGCCAGCCGCAGCAACGTTGCCCGAAGTCACCCGAGCTTGGGGTGCATGGGCGGCTCCAGCGCCTCGCCGCTTGCTCCACAGGAGGAGGAGCAAGAGGAGGAACGAGGAAGAGGAGGAGCAGCAGGAAAAAAGCGAGGAGGAGAGGAAGGAGGAGGAAGAGGAGGACGAGGAGGAGGAGGAGGAGGAGGAGAAAAAAAAGGATGAGGCGGAGGCGGAGGCGCGAGGAAGAGGCGAAAGAGGTCGCCGGCACCCGGGTGGGCTGCCGCTCCGCCTGGGCGGTGCGAAGAGAAGCCCTCCGAGCGGGCGGGCCCCGAGCGTCGCTGCCAGGAAGCCACCGGCCGACACGCCGAGCCCCAGTGGCCACGCTCCGCGGAGGGAGAGGGGGGCCTGCCGGGGCTGCGAACCAGGGGGCCAATCATCCGACGTCGTGGTGTCTGCTCACAACTCAGGACCCCCTCGAGTCACGAGAAAATCACGACGGGTTTTTGTTCTCGCCATTTTCGGCCTCGGGGGGGCCCTACCGTGCCTCGGGACCGTCAAAAAACGACGCAAGATGAAAAACCAGTCTCGGGGAATGGGTCCAGACCTCTGGGGGTCGACGTAATGAAAAAATCATGACGTCGGGGGTCTGGGAACGCGGCTCTCCCAAAGATCTGGACGCTTCCCCACTCGCGCCGGGAGTCGTTTTTTTGACGGCCCTGGGGCCCAGCAAGGGCCCTTCAGGGGGCCCAAAACGGCCAAGACCCTTCCGTCGTGGTTGCTCCACGACGCGAAGATAGCAAGGGAGGAGGAGGCCTGTACCGCGGAATGGCCTGCGAGGCGACGGGCAGCGGAGCTCCGCCGAAACCGAGGCAGGCACCGCCGATATCGCACCGCCCCTCAGCAATGCGCCTCCCAAGCCGTCCCAGCCCTGCCAGGCGCCGACCTCCACACACATACTCTCTCTCTCTCTCTCTCTTCTTTCTCTCTTTCTTTTTCTCTCTCTCTCTCTCTCTCTCTCTCTCTACTATTACACAATATGAACAATATTATCCTCTCTCCCGGACGACGTCAAGACGATACTCGGACTCCCTCCGCGTACTGTTTTTTAATGTTGCTCCCGCTGAAGCGCTGGCCTCATTTTCGGGCTTCCGCTCGTTCCGAATCGTGCTCCTGCTGCAGCGATTGCCTAATTTCCGCGCTTCGGCTCTTTCCGAATCGTGTTCCCGCTGCAGCGCTGGTCTCATGTCCGCGCTTCGGTTCGTTCCGAATGGTGCTCCCGCTGCAGCGCTGGCGTCATGATTTCCAGTGCCATGCCACGGCATGCAATGCAACGCTATGTGGTGCTCCGCTGTGCGATACCATGCCTTCAGCTGCAATGCTAGGATATGCAAACTTGACTACGCAGTGCCACACCATGCTATGCCATGCTACGCTTTGACATTCAAGGCCATGCTACGTCATGTTCTGTTATGTGCCGCTGTGCGATGCCACTCATGCGTTGCAATGCGTTGTGATGCAATTCTTCACTACGCAACGCCACGCCATGTTATGGCATACTACGCGCTGCCGTGCCCTTATACGTCCTGCTACGCCGTGCTCTACGATGCATCGCGCACCCTCTCGGAATCATTGCCCTGCTCGACATCCGACTGTGCGAATAGAGGGGAAATCTACGACGTGGTAAAGGATGGGAGGGAGGGGTCGGGCGTCAGATATGACGCGAGCGTACCTAGCTTGACTCTACCCTTCCTCCTCCATTCCTGTTCCTTTCTTTATACATATATAGAATCTCCCTGTCGCAGCCCGGTCCAGTTTTTGAGGCGGGCCTTCCTCACCATTTATGACTGTGAAGCTTAAACATTTGCAACAGTTTCACAGATGGAAGGCCGGCCGTTCGTTTTCAAAATGCGGCCCTCGCCTTAGCACGGCGCACATTCGTATTCAAAGACTGTAGGAGCTTCACGGATTGAGGGCGGGTCGGTTGCAAAATGTGGCGCAAGAGTTTCACGGATTGAAATCGGTTCCTTTTCAATAGTGATTCTCGCCTTAGCGCCGCGTGCATTCGTTTGAAAAAATTGCAAGAGATGTGCGGATTGAAGGCGGGTCGTTTTCAAAATGTGGCTCTCGCCTTAGCGCCGCGCACATTCGATATGAAAATGTGCAGGAGTTTCCCTGATTGGGGGCGGCTTATGTTCAGAATGTGGCTCTCGCCCCAGCGCCGCGCACATTCGTTTGAAAAAACTTCAAGAATTTCACGGACTGACAGGGGGGTCGTTTTCAGAATGTTGCTCTCGCCTTAGCGCCGCGCACACTCGTGTGACAAATGTACAAACACTGTCACGGATTCCCACGATCAACGTATGAAAAATGGTGCTTCGGAAGGACTCAGGATTATGCGGGCGCCACAGTTATGTCGATTCGTGGTGTCGAAGCCCCAAACAAGGCGTTTTGGTACGATTCCGGATCGTCAAAACGCAACAGTCAGGGTGATCCGTGGCGTCAGATTCCCGAGAACAATGTTGTGGCACGCTTCGGGATCTTCAAACTGTTGTTTTCTAACAAGGCATTTCCCTCAATGGAGATGAGCCGTTGTAAGGCCCCATGAAGAAGGCTTGGAGGGAGGGTTCACTCCAACATCGTGAATGACTCTTGGGTTTACACTGGTCCTCCTCCTCCTCCTCCTCCTCCTCCTCCTCCTCCTCCTCCTCCTTTTCTTCATCCCCCTCCTCTTCGCAGCCATTTTGGTTCAAGATGGGCGGTTCCCGCGGGGGCCAAACGGATGCCGCTAGTCCGCGGCAGTTCTCGTTTCGCGCGGCCTGTCCCCTCACGTTAGGACCATCGCCTGTGCCAGCGCGCGGGCGGTTCCTGGCGTTGGCGGGCACTGGAGGCGCGGCGGCGAGAGCGACAACGAGTGCAAGATGGCTGGCGGCGCGCCGCGGGCCAAGGGCGCTGCGCGGCAGGACTGGACGTGCAAGTCCTGCGTCAGCAACAGAGGGCGAGCGGTCGTCAACTGGGGGGCGGCGCTCAAGTGTCAGGGCCGCAGGCTGCCCAAGACCACGTGCTTCGGGGCGAACGCCCCGTTCCCTGCGGCGGCCAAGTCGAAGACGAAGTCGGGCGCGGCACTTGGCGGCGGCAGCGGCAAGGCCCCTCCCTGGGCCGGGCCGCCGCTCTCGGCGCAGCTGGCCCAGGCGCAGCGCGAGCTGGCGGACCTCAAGAAGCCGCTCAAGGCCAGTGGGCCCGCCAGCGCTGGCGGGCCGCTCGGCGGGGCGCAGGCCATGGAGGTCGACGACGGCGAAGGCGCTGGCGCTGGCGACGCGGCGGTGCTCGCCGAGATCCACATGTGCGAGTCGGGCCTGCACGCCATCAAGGATCAGACGGCGGACTGGGCCACGGCGCCGCGGGAGGAGCTGCGCGCCAGGCTGGAGAAGGCCAAGGCGCGGCCCTTCGCCAGCAAGCCGCTCCGCGCACGGACGCATGCCATCGCCAACAAGGCCAAGCAGCGCGCCGAGCGCCTGGAGAAGGCGGAGGGCAACAAGCGGAAGGCGCAGGAGGCCTTACGGCGGGCTGGAGGAGGCTGAGCGCGGCCCATGCCGACCTCCTGGATCAGCAGGTGGCGCTGCAGGCTGGGCTGGCGCAGCTGCAGCTGCAGGCGCCCCAGGCTCCACCGCCGCGGCATGCGCGCCAGGCCATGGCGCAGGACGTCATCGGCGGGCTCGGCATCACGGCGGGCGAGCTGGAGGCCGTCGCGCTGCAGCAGCCCTCGGCCCACCCGAACGAGGAGCAGCCAGTGCCAGCGGAGGCGCAGAAGCGCATGGCAGGCGCGCTGGGCGAGCGCATTGCGGAGTTGCGCATGTCCAAGCGGGCGCGGCGCGAGGAGGCCCCCTCTGAGGAGCAGGCCAGCGCCGGCCAGGACCTCGCCAGCACCGCAGGAGTGGTGCGCGAGGGCGCTGAGCGGGACGGGCAGCCCCAACCAGCGCCCGAGGCAGCAGCGCCTGGGAGCGGCAGCGGCCCCGCCGTCGTGCCGCGCTGGCAGCCCGAGGAGGAGTCGGTGGAGCAGCTCCAGCAGCGGCTGCGGAAGCATGGCCTGGAGCTCGAAGGCGGCGAGGAGTCAGCCGTGCGCGCCCGCTGCGCTGCGCTGGCCAGCGGGGGCTTCCAGCCTCACGAGGATCCTGCTGTTCCTCAGCGCGCGGTTTGGCGCCATGGCGAAGGGCGGCATCTTCGCGGCGAACGTGACGGCGGGGGGGTCCCTGGCGCCGCGCGTCGAGGGCATCTGCGAGCGGACAGAGGCCGTGGTCCTCCTGGTCCAGGAGCACCACGCCAAGGACCACGACCGGCTGGCCGCCGTGCAGCAGGCCATGCTGGACCACGGGTACGCGAGGCTCTGGGCGCCAGCTGTCCAGGGGGCCCGCGGCGAGGCAGGCACCTCTGGCGGGGTGGCGGTGCTGGCGCGCTCGCACATCACAATCACCAGCCCGCTTTTCCTGGAGAGCCCCGTGCTTCTGGCCGCGAGGTTGGCGGCCGCCCATGTGCACTGGGCAGTGGCGGGCGGGTTCGTCGCTATCCCTGCGTACTTCCACGACAGTGTGGGGGGTGGAGCGCGGACAGCCAGCGCGTGGCGGCCGTTCTCATGAAGTACCTGGCCGAACTCAGCGCGGCTGGGATCGACTGGGTCGTGGGCGGTGACTTCAACATGGAGCCCGCGAGGTTTCCTGTGCAGCAGCTCCACGGGGTCCGCGGGCTGCGGGCGGCGGCAGGCAGAGGATGCCGCCTGCAGGCCGCGCGCTGGGGCCTTGTCAACGCTGGACTA